GCTTGTGTTTCCTCTTGCAGCTCTATCATTTTTTCCTACCATCAATTGAATGCATAATCAATAAGTCCAACCACAAACTAAATAGCAACATAAAAGAATACTACAGCAGCAACAAAAATAAGTTCTGATGGAGTAGAGAAGCAAGTATCTCAAACATTATCAATCTAATACTAAAAGGAAATTTCTGATATAAAGTTTTTCTTATACACATATAAGCAACAGATTTACATTCACAGATCCATGCATAAACATGCTAAGTAATTGGAAAGATAAGGCTGTTGCATTTTCTCTAACACATAATTTTGCAAGAGGCTATGAATAAGAAGGCAACAACAGGGCAATAAATGAATGAAAATTGCTTTTGATTGATCCCCATGTTCCTGCTACCTAGTTTTAAAGTCCTTTAAAGTGCTTAGTTCCTGAATTTATCACCCATATCCAAATGATTAACAAACTAACTGAAGTTGTTTGCAGCAAGCACCTTTGCCCAATCAGCATAAATGTAGCATTCAAACTAACAATACTTTAATCACACACTTCCCAAATACTACCTCAAGAAGCACTATTGGTAAAGCATACATGAAATTTAAAAATAATAAGAAACAAAAGAAATCTGGAAATCACATTTCTTGCCCTGAAATCTTATAGATATAACCCCTTATAAATGCAATAAATAAATGCAGGTTGTGAAGTGCAGAATTGCAGTTTGTGCAGGGTGTTAAGCTGTTGATTGATATGTTTTTGTAGAAATGCAGTTTGTGAAGTGCGTTTTTTTTTTGTTAATGAATGTAGTTTTTTTCTACAGAAATGCAATTTGTGCAGTGTGTGAAGCTGTTAATTGACTTCAATTTTTTGTAGAAATGCAGTTTGTGCAGTGTGTGAAGCTAATTTGTGCAGTGTATGGAGCAGTTGATTGACTGCAGTTTTTGTGAAACATTTTGATGCAATTTTTTGTGAAGAAATGCAGTTTGTGCAGTGAGTAGAGCAGTCAATTGACTGCAGTTTTTGTGAAGAAATGCAGCTTTGTGAATTGTGTGAAGCTGATTTGTGCATTGTGTGGAGCAGTTGATTGACTGCAGTTTTTGTGAAACTTTTGTTGCAGTTTTTTGTGAAGAATGCAGTAAAATTATCAGCATCAACAAAAACCATAAACTAATTTTACGCTATTAAACAGAAAGAATGGCAATTGATCATATCACAAGTCCAAGCACGCGGCATTAAAAAAATAAAAAGTCACATCTTTAACTTTGATACGATATTTGCATCAAACCTTCCAAGTGTTTCTACATCTCATTTTAAGATATTAGACCAAATCTAAACATATTCAGGTCCTTAACAAATTAGACTGTGATTAACATGCACCATCAACATGAATTAAAAGAAAAAAAAACTATTATTATATACTTTCCTTTTAGGTAGGATTTGACTCCATTTTACTTGCCCCTGCAAGATATTGGCATCGCCAACTTCAAACTTGTGCGCTCTATTGGCAAAGGATCTAGTCCACCAATTGTTAGGGATTATTTATCTATGATTCATCGATTTAATGGAAATCTCTATACAGTCATAAAGTAGATTGAACAGAATATACTTCATAGCATCACAATCACAATTATGAAGAAGTTTCCAATCTTCATAAATAAACATTGCAAACACATAAGAAATTGATATTTGCCTTGCACAGATTAAATGAAAACATAGGACTAGCTACAATTGAACATGTCTATCTATATAGGGGGAGAGTGACCGAAGTGCTCACAGTTAGGAATTCGCAAGGAAGAAACTTGTACTGATTAGTGTCATCCGAAGTGGTCTCATCCACCTAGGATCACAACACATTCATAAAGAAAGTGTTATTCATAGAAGGTTGGCAATCTCCCCGTCCCATTCCACTTCTTTGCACACACTATCTGCACCCAAAATCAAAACAAACAACAAGAACGACATCAATCTTCAAAATCAAGATTGACCCAGTTGCTAAAAGTAGTAATTTAATCCTTCAACTTCTTATCAAAAATAACAATATGCAGTAGCAATTAAACACACAATCTTCACTTCTATCATCACACCACAGACTTCAATCTTCTTATCAAACACACAACAACTCTAAGTGAACAAAGAAAGGACGCGTATAATAAACGAAAATCAATGCAATGTCAATAAACGAAAATACATTAGTTCTAAAAATTTGAAATCAGATTCAATATTACCATGTGAGAGAACTAAAGAATCAAAAATTGTACTTACAGGAGGTTAGGGACTGCCTCGTATTGGATGAATGAAGGAAGCCAAGAAGATCAATTAAAGATGAAGATGCGTGGAGAAGAGATGAAGTCAGGTTCTGCAGTTCAGAAATTCGGCCAACAGAGATTAAGATGAAAAAGCGTTAGATCGAAGAGATGAAGATGCGTGGGGAAAAGATGAAGTCAGGTTCTGTAGTTGGAAATTCAGGCAACAGCGACGGCAAACATGCATTCAGAAGAGATATGAAATTTGGGTTATGCCTTTGGAAATTTGGGGAAAAGCTAGGGCAAACATGCGTGGAGAAGAGATGAAATTGACAAAAATGCTTGCTTTATATAGGTTAGGGTATTCTGTAAATAACTTGAAAACCTAGGGTTCTAATTAGTTATTAATTTTGAAATATAATTCTATTATGCAAAAAGTCAATTTGTAACTAAAAATTTAGTCAGTAAAGAATTAATGTTTAGTTGCCTATAATTTAGGTCTGGCGGAACAAATAATTTGGAGGGAATATGAATTTTTAAGTTAAATTAGCAACTAAATCAATTTAGTTGCTGTATATACTTTAGGCCCCTTGTAATTACTGTCCAAATATGGGATATTTTGGTAATTTCATTTTTCTACAACTAATCATAATAGTTACTAATAAATCCCTAATTATTCGCAACTAATTTAGCCACTAAGGGGTAGTTGCAAAAAAGTGTTTTTTGTAACCAAAAATGTAGATGCAAAATATAATATTTTGATGTAAATTATCAAATTTTGGAGGGAAAAATTATCCGAAAAAAATTGCAACAAATTTATTAGTCACTAAAGCAACCAGTTCTGTACTAACAAATAGTCGCAAAAAATAACTTAGATGCAAGTTGGAACTGTGGGCCCCAAAATGTAATCCTCCTTGCTCGACTAATGTCAATTTAGTTGGTAAATGTAGCCTTTTTGCAACTAATTCTGTTAGTTTCTAAAAAATTGGTTGCAAAATGTCAGTTTCTTGCAGTGAAATCTGCAGTCTCGGAAGCTGATTGGGACAGGCCGTAGGAAAAGGGGACTATATATTTTGGATGAGCTAAAAGTGTCAGTTGCTGCTGCTATTAGTGTTGATGCTGCGGCTGTAGTGTTGATTTGTCTTCTTTTCGTTTAAATCCTTCTTCTTCTAGTTTTATTTATGGCATTCTCATCTAGGTCATGTTTCGTCTTCTCGTTTTAGACTTTTGGCATCCACAGGGGCTTTAGGAAATTGCAAACTGTGTATATTTCTGATTGTAGTGGGAAAACTGGCAAAATTTTCAGCTTTATCTTTAATCGAAGTATTTCTGTTTCTTCTTCTCCATTTGATTTGATTCATTCTGATGTATGGGGACCTTTCCTATTGCCACAAAGGAGGGTCTTGATATATGTTTCCTTTATTGATATCATACTCGTTATTGTCGGGTTTATTTAATGAAACATCATTCTGAATTCTTTGAGATATACACAGCCTTGCGAGCTCTTTCAAAACTCAACATTCTGCTGTTATCAATGTTTTAAATGTTTTGTGGGGAATACACTTCTAATAAATTTTGTGAGTTGCTTGCCTTAGATGGAACTGTTACCAACCTCGTGTACAGATACTCCTGAGCAAAAGAGTGGTACTGAAAGAAAACATAGGCATATTGTTGAAACTGCTCGTTCTCTCTTGTTGTCTGCTTCTGTTCCTAGTGTATTTTGGGGTGAAGCTGTTCTTACTGTTGTAAGTTTGATTAATACAATTCCCTCTTCTCATATTTCAGGTTTTTCTCCTTTCGAAAAGTTGTATGGGTATGCCCCTGATTATTCTTTCTTTAGAGTTTTTGGTTGTACTTGTTTCATTCTTCGTCCTCATGTAGAACACAGCAAGTTGTCTCTCGATCTGCTATTTGTGTCTTTCTTGGTTATGGTGAAGGTCAAAAGAGGTATCGTTGTTTTGATCCAATAACTCAGAAACTTTATATGTCTCGTCATGTTGTTTTTCTTGAGCATATACCTTTCTTTTCTATTCCATCCACTACTCATAACTTGACTAGATCTGACCTTATTTGTATAGATCCTTTTTCTGAGGATTCTGATAGTTTGTCATCTCATGTTCCTAGTACTTCAAATACCCCTTCTCATGTTCATACCCTGTTACCTTTACATTATACTTGACCAATTTGTACTGATCATTCTGCAGGTACTGACACTTTACTCTCTAGCACACTTGAAGCTCCCTCTTCTCCTATGGTCCCTCAAGCTCCATCTGAGATTGTGGATCCACCTCTACGTCAATCCATACGCATTCGTAAGTCCACAAAGTTACTAGATTTTGCTTATTCTTGTTATTCTTCATCCTTTGCTTCCTTTTTAGCTTCTATTCATTGTTTCTATGAGCCATTTTCCTATAAAGAGGCAATTCTTGATCCTCTTTGGCAGCAAGCTATAGATGAGGAACTTTCTGCTTCGCATAAGATAGGTACTTGGGATTTGGTTCCTCTACCTCCTGGTAAGAGTGTTGTTGGTTGTTGTTGGGTGTATAAGATCAAGACTAATTCTGATGGATCTGTTGAGCGATACAAAGCTAGGTTGGTTCCAAAAGGGTACTCTCAATAGTATGTATGGATTATGAGGAGACGTTTGCTCTTGTTGCAAAAATGACTACTATTCGTACTCTTATTGCAGTAGCTTCGGTTCGTCAGTGTCATATCTCTCAACTTGATGTTAAAAATGCCTTCTTGAATGGAGATCATCAAGAAGAAGTTTATATGGCGCCCCTTCCTGGTGTTTCACATGATTCTGGGTATGTTTGCAAGCTCAAGAAAGTGTTATATGGTCTTAAATAAGCACCTCGTGCTTGGTTTGAGAAATTTTCTGTTGTGATCTCTTCCCTTGGATTTGCTTCTAGTAGTCATGATTCTCCTCTTTTTGTTAAGTGTACTGATGCAGATCGTATCATTCTGTCTTTATATGTTGATGATATGATTATTACTGGTGATGACATTGATGGTATTTCAGTTTTGAAGACAAAGTTAGCTAGACAGTTTGAAATGAAGGATTTGGGTTCTCTACGATATTTCTTAGGTATTGAGGTAGCCTACTCACCTAGAGGTTATCTTCTTTCTCAGTCGAAATATATTGCAGATATTCTTGAGCAGGCTAGACTTACTGATAATAAGACTGTAGATACTCTGATTGAGGTTAACGCAAAGTATTCTTCTTCTGATGGTTTACCTTTGTCAAATCCTACTTTATATCGTACTATTGTTGGGAGCTTGGTATATCTCACTATTACTCATCCAAATATTGCATATGTTGTTCATGTTGTTAGTCAGTTTGTTGCTTCTCCTACTACAGTTCATTGGGCAACTGTTCTTCGTATTTTACTATTTTGTGGTATCTTCAGGGTAGAGTCTTTCAGAGTCTTTTACTTCCATCCACCTCTTCCTTGGAGCTGCGTGCATACTCTGATGCTGATCATGGCAATGATCCTACATATTGCAAGTCTGTTATTGGTTTATGTATCTTTTTGGGTGATTCTCTTATTTCTTGGAAGAGCAAGAAACAATCTATTGTTTCTCAATCTTCAACCGAAGCAGAATATCGTGCTATGGCATCTACTACCAAAAAGATTGTTTGGTTACATTGGTTACTTGCAGATATGGGAGTTTCTCTTTCTCATCCCACTCCTATGTATTGTGACAACCAGAGTTCTATTCAGATTGCTCACAACTCGGTTTTTCATGAACGAACTAAGCACATTGAGATCGATTGTCACCTTACTCGTCATCATCACAAGCATGGCACCATTACCTTACCCTTTGTTTCTTCTTCTTTGCAGATTGCAGATTTCTTTACCAAGTCGCATTCTATTTCCCGTTTTCATTTTCTAGTTGGCAAACTCTCGATGCTTGTAGCTGCCGCATCATGAGTTTGAGGGGAGATGTTACGAACTATATGGTTATTTTTGTTTTATTGTTTATTAAGGGTAGAATAGTCTTTTTAGTTTCCTTTGTTTAGCCTATATATAGTCTCTTTGTATTTAGGTTAAATCATTCTTTTGTATTCAATTGCATTGTGCAGTATCAATGAAACCCTAGTCTCCTCTTTTTCTTATTTCTTTGGATTGTTTAACAAAATGGACTATTGGGCTAACAAGACAACTGAGATAAACCATATGAAGGTGTTCTTTTGAAATGCTTCCAATTTAATCAACAGCTAGCTTTGAAATGGTATCGAATTCTTTTTCAATGGATACTTATAAAAGAACTAGATAAGAAGCCACTTGTAGTATTCCAACAGGCAACAGCAGCAAACTAAGCAAAAAGATTACAAAAGCTTTAACATCGATCTTTAGATTTATTTATTAGTAATTCATTCCTAATTATTAGTATATCTAACAAACTGATAAGAAAATTGGTAAGAAAAATCATAACCACCTGTGATAATGCTTCTCACAGTGTTCTGCAGTCTATACAACAATGAAGCCATCCCATATCTGTAAATCTGCACAAAGAAAAAGAAAGATTACAAGCTGTTAATATTCACCTAAAATTCTCCAACATACAGATTCTCAATACAAACACGGACCATAAATACGATTTTTACCTACACACAAGGCCTCGGTACACAAACAAACAGAGCCTAATGGCGCGAAAATGCTGAGAGCGACTCAATAAATATAACAACCCGCCTGGTCAAGCACTCATTGCTAGGTCTAGCTCTGATACCATGATAGAATTTGAGATGGGTCTGACTCTCACCCAATAAGGTCTTGTCGAATGAGAGGATTACCCTCTCCTATAAACCAGTTGGCTTGAGCATGTCTCGTCAGTGTGGAACTCCAACAGGCTTCCCTTAGGCTAATGCTATTAATAGAATCCCCTGAGGTTTTTTAAAATGACAAAAATTGTAGGTTTTATTTTTTAATGACTGAGGTATCCAGGCCAACTTACGCACATCCCAACTAATCCTCCAAGACCCTGGAACTACCGGTTAGGTACAAGCTCCAGTAGACACCCCTATTAGTAACCGTGGGGACTCAAACTTGGGAGATCATATTGAATCATTCTCTTGCTCTTTTACCCCTAAGGAGACTCAAACTTGGGAGACCATGTTAAATCTTCCTCTTGCTCTTTTATCATCAAGGGGACTCAAACTTGGGAGACCATGTTAGATCCTCTTTTGCTCTTTTACCATTAGGTCACCCAGTGGTGGTTAAATTAACACAAAAATTGTAGTTCAATTATCACAAATGTTTTCTTTTGTTTTTTTCGTCCCATTTTCTTTTTATAGAAATCAACAATTAAATATAAAATATTAGTAAAAGATGAGAAAAGTAAGTGTTGCAGAAAACATAAAATTACTATGAACGCAAAGAAAATAAAATATAAAGGGACTGCAACCTCCCAATCTCAATGGATAAAGAAAATATATTTTCGATCTACAATTTCTGTAAGTGGAAACCGTTATAAAAATTAAAACATTAATTCTAATTCGCTCAAATCTCAATGTGAATAGAATTAAATTAAAAACAACATCCCAAAAAGATCAACACTTAAACTATAGAATATTGAATTAATAGTAAAGGGTTATAGACAAACCTATTTGTTTCATGATTCTTGATCTTTGGATTTCTTAGAAGAGCAACGACTGTTTTTCCCAAAAGGCAAAAAGCGTAAGTCTTCCTTTCCAATTTCTCAACCTAATGAAAACTTCCAAAATGGGTTTCAGTTATCTTATATAGTTTGGAAAAGAGACATAGTCAATTTAATAATAGTTTATTGGGCCCTCCCATTAAATGCCTAATAAACCCTAAGGCTCATACTTTGTTGTCAGTCCAAATTAATCCATTGGTATAGCAGTGAACTATTAATTTACCCAGTTTTAATCAAAACTAACATATAATTAATGTTAGCCCACAATTAGGAATTTTTTCTAACATTCTCCCCCTTGGGCAACATTAATTATTTTATTATAAGAAAAGAAAAGAAAACAATTTTGACTCCCGAATAAATATAATTTTTAACTTTAAAGTGGCCACTATTTTAAGAAAACAACATAGTCCAGAGATAACACTTCAACCAACAATCCAGTCAATATGATAATCAATGATGAACCAAGGCAATCTTTACATCTTAAAACGACATAAGATCAATCCATAAGATCAATCCATGATTACAATTACTAAAAATCAAATCACATGGATCAGTAATCTGCTAGTGTGGCAAGGATAGCACCTCAACAAGTGATCAAAACCTCTGTTTTAAAAATCAGACCGGACCGGCCAGACGTGGCAGCTTTTCCGATCCAGTTCAGGTCTTAGGGGGGTTTTGCAATATTTCAAAATTATAATTTTATAAGGGTGTTTTGGAGATATGTCAAAAGTTTAGGGATTAATTGGTAATTTTTTTGGGCATTTTTAAAATAAATAAAAAAATTTAGGGACTAATTTGAACTTTTTTAGGGGAATTTTTGTAATATATTAAACTTTAAGGGATTAATATGTCATTTTTTAAAATAAAATTGTCGCTGACATCATCAGTCCAACCGGTTAACCCTTGACTTGGGCAGCAGAACGAGTTGCCTTCCAGTCCAGGTTTTAAAACAATGATCAAAACATGTGCTATTACTCTATCAGTCCTAATTAAGAACTCTCTTTAATCTTTATGCTTTAAAGAACAACAAGAGATGTCTCATAGCTTCCAACGAAGCTACACAGCTTCCAATGAAACCAATATGTTTCAGTCAATAATACTGCAATTTCCATATATGAAACATATCCTTATAACTGTTATTCTCAAGAGAAACCTTATTTTTGAGACACAGTGTTGTATATTAACAATTTATATGTGCATATATATATACAATGATCATGCCAAAAAATATATATATATACGCTAACTCATCATAAATAGTATAGCATAAAATCAACAGCCATACATCAATAACTCCCACTAACCCAAAGTATCAAAAGACTCTAAAATACCCATATTTTCAACATGACCTTTAAAAGAAATGGGTCTAAGTCCTTTGGTTATTGGGTCAGCCAACATACTATCAATACTAATGTATTGTTCAACAATGTCTCCCTTTTTAACCAGGTCCCTAACTGTAAAATACTTTATCTCCATATGCTTTGACTTGCTACTGATTTTATTATTCTTGGAGAAGAACACAACTGCATTATTGTCACAGTAGATCGTTAGTGGCCTAGAGATGGAATCAACCACACCTAGATTAGTAATGTAATTCTTCAACCATATAGCCTAAGTAGCTACCCCATGACATGTAATGAATTCTGCATACATCGTTGAAGAGGCTATCAAAGTCTGCTTAACATTTTTTCCACGATATGGCCCCACCTGCGAGCAAGAAAATGTATCCTGAATCAGAATATCCAACTACTTCAAGATTTTCAGCCCTTTTGTATACAAGCATGAACTCTTTCGTCCTTTGCAAGTATCTCATAACTTGCTTGGCCGCAACCCAATGATCAGAACTCGGATTCAAAAGATAACGACCAAGGACATTTATAGCAAAAGCTATGTCTAATCTCATGCATACTTGTGCATACATCAAGCTCCCAATGGCACTAGCATAAGGAATATTCTACATAGATGCCCTTTCCAAATCACTCTTAGGACATTGCTTGATGCTGAACTTGTCTCCTTTCACCACAGGTACATCTCTAGGCTTGCAATTTCACATGTTGAATCTCTTCAACACACGCTCAATATAAGCCTTTTGAGATAACCCAAGCAACCCACGAGTTCTATCATGGTAAATCTCAATAACAATAACAAAAGAAGCATCTCCAAGATCTTTCATGTCAAAAGCTTTAGACAAGATCTGTTTTGCCTCATGCAGTAGATTAAAATCATTTTTGGCTAGTAAGATGTCATCGACATAAGAACCAGAAATACAAACTTACTCCCACTAATCTTCATATACACACATTGATCAAACTTATCCTCAGTGAAACCATATGAAGTCACAACTTCATCAAACTTGAGATGCCACTACCTAGAAGTTAAACCATAGATTGACTTCTTTAACTTCCATACCATGTGTTGCTTATTTTCGGCTACAAAACCATCTAGTTGCATCATGTAAACTTCCTCATAAAGATTTCCATTCAGAAAGGTTGTTTTGACATCCATTTGATGTAGTTCCAAATCAAAATAAGCTACTAAGGCCATTATAATTCTGAATGAATCTTTAGTAGACACAGGAAAGAATGTCTCATTGAAATCGATACCCTCTCTCTGGGTGAAACCCTTAGCAACCAATCTAGCCTTGAACCTATCAATTATTCCCTTAGAGTCTCTCTTTGTCTTGTAAACCCATTTACAACCTATGGGTTTAAAACCATCTAGCAACTCCAGAAGATCCCATACTTCATTGTCTACCATTGACTTCATTTCTTCTCTCATTGCAACAAACCATTTATCGGATTGTTGACCTGAGAGAGCTTCATTATAGCTTGTTGGATCGACACACCAATGTCATATTCTGCCTCACCAAGATAGACATAATAATCATCAGAAATAGCATAACATCTTTCTCTGGTTGATCTCCTAAGAGGAATCTCAATAACTAGTTCATCAGCAATATTATCTGTTATAGGTAATTCCTCTACAACAGGATCTACAATAGGTTCTTCAGCATCAACTTCATTTTGCACAGTCTCATGTTCTGTAAGAATCTCTAGAACCTGTTGATTCTCCACTAAAACAAGTTCTGAAAACATACCATCATGCCCAATAGATAAGGGAACAATACTTGATGAGCCTGCTTCACAATTCTCCAAGGGTTGAGTACTGCTACCCTCAGCTACATCAAGTTGCAAGAACTTGGTAGTCATAGATTCAACCACCCTGGTACCCCGAGAATAGCAATAAAACTTGTATCCTTTAGAATGCTCAGGATAACCAATGAAATAGGCTCGAATGGTCCTAGGATCCAACTTCTTCTCAATGGGATTATAAATCCTCACTTCAGTTGGGCAACCCCAAACTCAAAAGTGTCTCAGGCTAGGCTTTCTTCTTGTCTAGAGTTCAAATGGAGTCTTTGGCACAGATTTACTAGGAACCCTATCTAAGATGTATAATGCAATCTTAATTGCTTCACCCCATAAAAACTCAAGGAAATTTGAACTCCTCATCATTTCTTTAATAGTGCGATTGCGTCTCTCAGCTACACCATTCTACTCAGGATTCCCAGGCATTGTGTATTGAGGAACAATACCACAATCTGGTAAAAACTTAACAAAAGACCCCATCTGCTGTCCTATCTCACCATATTTGCCATAATACTCCCCACCTCGATCAAACCTAACCACTTTGATGACTTTTCCCATTTGTTTTTCTACTTCAGTCTTGAAAATTTTGAATTTTTCAAGAGCATTAGACTTCTCTTTAATCAGAAAAACATAAACATATCGAGAAAAATCATCAATGAAGGTAATGAAGTATCTATTGCCACATAAGGTGGACGAGTAGGGTCCACTAATATCTGTGTGGATGATCTCAAGAAGACCTTGACTCCGAGTTGAACTTTTCTTCTTAGACTTGGTCAAGTTACCTCTGATACAGTCAACACACGTTCCAAGATCTTCATAATCTCCAAGATCTTCTTTCATCAGCCTATTAACTCTTTCTCTAGAAATATGTCCCAACCTTTTATGCCATAACAATAAAGATCTTTCTTTAATCAAAGATCTTTTAACTCCAACGCTCTCAACATTAAAGAATAATAAAATTGATTAGGATCCAAATACATTCTATACAAGCCATCCAATAATACGTAAGATCTAATAACCTCAAAATTAAAACTCAAAACAACTTTTCCATTACCAAAAACAAGTCTATAACTAGTTTTATCAAGTAAAGAACCAGAAATTAAATTTCTTCTAAAAGAGGGAACATAAAAAGTATTCTCCAAATACAAAACTGATCCAGAGTCTAAAATCAGCTTCATTGTGCCTACACAGTACACTTCAACATCAACATCATTCCCCACTTTTAGTTTGGACTCCCTCTCAGTTGGATCATGCCTTTTGATTAGCCCCTGTAATGCTGTTGTCATATGAACAGTTGCACCACTATCAATCCACCAACTATCTTTGAGAGCATCAACTAAAGTTGATTCAAAACAAACAACAGCAAGTGCCTTACCTTGTTCTTTATTCTTCTTCTCTAACCAGCCCTTGTACTTAAGACAGTTAACCTTCATGTGACCCTTCTTCTTGTAGAAATAGCACTTGTCCTTCATATCTACTTTCTTCTGAGGCTGATTAAAATCTCGTTTCTTAAAACTCTTATCGTTTTTTAGGCCATGAGATTTAAATTTCTTCTTCTTCCGTTTTCCCTTACTGTGGGTCTTAAACTGTGCAACTAGATTAGCAGTTTCAGATCTTTCCTTCTTCAGCTTTTCCTCTGTTGGGATTCATGCATTTTGGACATGGACATGGAGAGAAAATGATGATCAAGATGATGGACATAAGGTAGAAAACAAAACATTATAACATTAACATATTAATGTAAGAAAATGATAGAAAATTAACAACTCCTTTTGCTATTAAAAGCTTGATGTTGAAACTTGGAGTCTAGATTCTTCAAAAGAGAATGACGAAACTCAAAATGAAGTCCACCCAAGCCAAAGATGAGAGAGAAAGTGAGAGATTGCTTTTTATTTCAATTGATTCAATTGAATTAAAATGGTATAAAACTTAATTTATATACCATGGGCACAAAGTGTAATTTTAAATTGTTTTGAGAAGGCCTCGAGCAATTTAAAATTAACTTGAGAATAAACATTTATGTCAAGTCCTTGGTTTTATGGTTAATTCATAATTAGACCAAATTTTAATTCCATTAAATATTCTAACCCTTTAGAATAAAACCAATGCACTTTTGCCCCCATCATTGAATCCAATTCAATAATAATATTTAATAAATCCTTATTACCCTTGGTTAGTGCTAGATATCCATGGATAATCATTTCTCACAAATACATTAATTCGGAGGCAACTGTTTACGTCTGAACATCATTAATCTGATTAATGATATGTATTACTCTCTCTCCTTGAGCTTGGTTTTATGTGTGACCATTTTGGTTCACTATGATCTAGCCGTGGGCCTAATATCTGATTTTGATATGTTTCGTTATAATTCTTTATAATTGAAACTCTCACTGATTATGGTAGACATCTAGCAATGTTCCATAACCTAAACCACAATGAAGTGTAAACTCCAATAAACCTATTCTGATCGTACGTACCGTGTAGTCAAATCCCTCTGTTATCTAATCTTAATTAAGAATGGTTCATGGTATGTCAAGACCTTTAACTTAATCTTTAATCGAATTATCAATCGATATAATGGAACTCGTCAACATGAAACTACTTTTCATCTGACATTCATTATACTCTGCCAGAGATTTCTCTTTTCCAATGTTTATTGACATTCGTCTGGGAACTTGAGATTGGACTATTTTGAGTTAACGGATCCCATCTTGACCATCACTTGTCCTCGCACATGAATAACATATGACCAAACCGGCTTATTACACAAGACATGACTAGTCTCGTGCTTATACATCATATGAACCATATGCATCCTATGTTGAATCCAGCCGTGATGTCTCAGGTCTAAGGATCAGTGGTACACTAGCACGATCCTACGATGCATCATTGACCATATCCATGTGATTAATCGTAATCGGTCATATTCGATAAACAGTTCACTAACCGTTTATCCATTCTAATGCCTTAGTGACATACTTCTTATAATCACCTACACTAATACCGTCACATGATATTCAATGGAGACATTCAGCATGCCTACTATGCAATTCTATTGCCCAATTAACATTACTTGCGTAGGGAATTCTTTGATGATTTGATCTTCTGAAGATCTGTGTCATCTGGACATTTCATATGCAATATTAAATATAATATAATATAAATGAAGCAGAAAATCAACATGTGAAATAAGAACACTTTCTTTTATTCATAATACATTTACAAGATATAATGTCATGAAACCAACAATACGATTGGTTCCTAGAGCATACACTAACATTGTCTTCAGCCACAAACTTGGTAATCAGATCATTAATACTCCAAGTCTGACTCTAAGCAATATAAGTTGTCTTGATCTGACTGAAATCTATGGGTAGCGAGTTTAGGGTATGATTAACAATGAAGTTATCGTTGATTGGGATCTCATGGTTTCTAAGCTTCGACTGAATATCTACAATTCTCAAAATGAACTCTTTCACTCCTTTGGAACTATCATATTTGGCTTCAGTTAATGCACTCATCAAGTTGCCAGCTTCAACATTATTACAAACTTGAAACCTCTAAGTAATAGCAGTGAGAAACACCCTAGCATTAGTGGTCTCAGGTAAACCACTCATCAACTAATCAGCTATGGTTCTCTGCATTGCAATTAGACTCAGCCTGTTTGACTTCTCCCATCTAGCATATAAATCCCTTTCTGCAACACTACTTTCCACAGTTGGCACAGGTGGTTCATTCTCTCGCAGAGCCATATCAATATCAGCAATCCCCAAAGCAAAATCTATGTCTTGCTTCCATCTCTTATAGTTACTACTAGTCAGGACCTCAATGGTTGCATTATCATTGTTCACTGTAATAGAGATTGTTTGAAATAAAACAATACAATAGATCAGTATCATCGGCAATAAATAATCAAAAATAGCTTCAAACCGTATAAGCTATTTCACATAGAGATACTATATGCATCACCATTAACTCTCCTTTGGGTAGAAAAAATGACATGCAATAAAGATCCCAAACACAAGGTTATAATAACAATAAATGTGAACATATGATCTAGAAAAAATTATCTCCTTTGGGCAAAAACCCTTCTAGGCCATTGTCCAACCTCCACTTTATAGGAAAATACATGTCAATTGAAAAACAACCATTTTGAGTGATTGTATTTTCAAGAGCAATGCATTTCCTAAATTAACCTTATGCTATCATCAATTTTAACACAAATAATAATCACTTTTGAGCAGAAAATTATGTGCATTAAAATGAAGAGTGTATCATTTTCCAAATAAATAGTTTTACAAGTTTCAATGAATTTACCACTTTGGCAATTAAACATTCTGACAACCCACCAAAATTATTCGAATGATACTAAAACATATATTGTCTAAATTAAGATTTCATGAGATACATACTTTATTATCTCTGACAATCTTAATTTAATATTGTTGCGTTTTATTCCAGTGAACAATTCTTTGTTTCCTAAAATTTATACTCTTCACGCGCTTTCACGTGCCCGCACGTGCTACCATGCACTTGAACACACTTCCACGCGCCTTCGCACTTCCACACACGCTGTCAACGACCCAGTTTGACTAGATTGGGTTTACTCGATTTGATTGGGTCGGGTTGACCCATTTTTAATTGGATCGGGTTGACTCGATTTGGTTCAGCCACAGGTTGACCAGTTTGATTGGGTCTGGTTGACCCAATTTAACTAGGTCATGGGTCGCTATGACCCGATATATACGATAATTTCATTTTGCCCCCTTCTATTTTGTATATTTTACCCCAAAATTTTTATAAAAATGCATATTCACCCCTGCAATCTGGAAAAAAACATATCGCAATATTTACACTCTAGAGGCCAAAATTCGCCCCTTTATCACCTTTAATGGGCAGAAAAGGCCTTCTTAATGGCTAGAAAACCCCATTATGGGTTCAAATTATAGAAACCCCAAATTGGGATTATCTAAAATTAAAGAAAAACCTAATTACACAAACTTGAATTAAAAAAAAAAAAAAAAAAACTTGATTTCAATTTTGAAAAACTCAAATCCTATAATCTAAAGTGTTTGGCTTTGATACCACATGTCATAAAAATTAAAACATGAATTCTAATTCACTCAAATCTCAATGTGAATAGAATTAAATTGAAAACATCCCCCCAAAAAGATAAACACTTAATGATAGAACATTGAATTAATAGTAAAGGGTTATAGACAAACCTATTTGTGTCATGATTCTTGATCCTTGGCTTTCTTAAAAGAGCAGCGATTGTTTTTCCCAAAAGGCAAAGAGCGTAAGTCTTCTTTTCTAATGACGCAACCTGATGATAACTTCCAAAATGGGTTTCAGTTATCTTATATAGTTTGGAAAGGGGACTTAACCAACTTAATAATAGTTTATTAGGCCCTCCCATTAAAGGCCCAATAATCCTAAGACCCACACTTTGTTGTCAGTCAAGATTAATCAAATGAAGTGTAATGGATCAAACTTTAATATGATCTCATTAAACCCATTAGTATATTAGTGGACTATTAATTTACTCCGTTGTAATCAAAACTAACATATATTAATATAAGCCCACAATTAGGAATTTTTTCTAACGGAAACTCCAGTTTTTTTAGCAGTGTTGTGAAGATTACATAAAATGCGGCCAGGTGATGAAATCCACTTGCCTTCTCCAAGCAGTAAATTATATGATTGGTATAATAAACATGATCATGTGGAAACCACTTTGAATATGACACAGAATTAACAAAAGCTAAAGTTAACACTATAATTCTTGTTATATGACAATGAGAATCAACAAATACCACTTTCGGCTCAAGCTTAATCTACTCAAATTTATTTTGTTTTCTGATGTAAAATTTCCTTGAGTCGATGATCTTTCAAGGCTCTTTGTGATGGTGAGGAATCCCCTCATTTATCTGTATGCAAACATTGTCAAGTGAATGAGTATCCGGAAAGAAATCTTTTAGCTCTGAGTTATATGATTTCTACATTCAACAAATGCATGATATTCGATCACGAAAACAGAAAATTCAGAATTGACAACACTTGGAATTTTATTCTATAGACTTTGGATCTTATTCCCTTCAATTCCAGGATCTGTTTCAGTTCAGGATTCGAAGAGAGAAAGCATGGACGTTCCAAATTTCTCTTTGGCCTCTTTGTCCAATGGATCGTCTCCCAGGTACATGTTAATGTACGCCCTGCAGAGAAGTTCACTCTCCACCCTGCTTATTAGCTCACCCTTCACTGCATCCACCAAACAAACATTGTTAAATTTCTGTAAAATGTAATTGGATATGTAAATTTTTAACAGTTATCATTTTCATCTTTGTATCCAACCTTTGGTTTCAAGAATGTGTCCTGGAAGACGAGAAATCTCAATTACAGAACCAGATGGTAGCTTCAAGTCATCTGATGCTTGACCCATCACCCTATCATCAACACAGCAGAATCAAATTTTCAGGTAAAGATCTCGCAATAGCTAAGTAAAAATGTGTAATTGAAGTGCCATGGATGGACGCAATAGTTAATTACTTGGTTGCTAGCTCATCATTCTTCTTCCCGCCATCGAGTTTCTTTATGGATGCTCCAAGACCTTCATCAAAATTCTTTCTTACCATGCCCATGGTGACTTTAAAAAATACAATCACCAGCCTCACCGTCATCTCCACATCACTATCAATTGCCACCTGATACATTTCTTCTGTGGGTTTTTCCGGGGCTTTACCGATCTTTGACTTCAGAACTTCTTTAAGTTTCCCATTGTCTGCATACATCCCTGCAAGTTGGAGTTTTTATCAGTTTCATGATTCTCTCCTGTTGATATCTGTACGCAAAGTTTGAAGTAAATTAAAGAATGTGGCTAGAAATTTTTTTACCAAAGCCATAAATCTTGATGCCAATGCCGAGCATAGACCTCTTCCTCAAACCAAGACAAGTCAGCTGCTTCCCATCATCCAGTTTAACAGGAAAGGAAAGCCCGGTTTGGGGTTCAATCTCCATTGCCACCTCCTCCTCAGTTTTTGCAATCACGTCCTCAGATGTGGTTGTCATTCTTCAAAATCAAAATGAAAGGATTAAAGGAACACAGAAAGAAAGAAAGAGATGCTAAATTTTTTTGTGTTGGTCGGGCTGCAACTTCAGGACACAGCATGAGTTGTTTATATAGAGAACAGAGGGAGGCCTTGAACTGCTCAATTTTTCACGTCATTGATTTATCCGTAAGTATAAAATCCTGGTAATTAATGACTAATCTCATTGTTTAATCTTAAGGAAAGTGTATATATAAATACAACAAATTAATTCCTGACTATTTTTATGTGAACATCACATTATTTGCATTAATAAATTAACACACCAAAAACGATTACTTTGAATATACACACCCTCACCCACTAATCTCCATTGACAAAATCTTTAAGCACGTTATTCACATCCAAGCTCAATTATAATTTAATTTAATTATGTTATGCACGATAAAAATAAAAATAAAAACTCATGAAAATGATTTTTCTTCTGTATTTCTTTTTCTATGGGTATCGGATTGGATCACACACACACACATATATATATATATATATATGATCGAGGTGTTTGAGTCGTTTTATATACATCTCAACTAATCTCTCAAAACTTGGGAAGAACTAATTGGATAAGAGTTCAATGTCTGTCCATATTAACAATCGAAAAATGACTCGAATTCAGAATCTCTTGAATAATACACTCAAGAATCTTTACTGGACCACTCGATCACACAGAGATACTTTCTTATACTGTACTCTTTAATTATAGCATTTATATTATTATTTTGTATGACTGTATTTGTTTATAGGTTGATATTTTTCCATCATGTTTCTAAATTTTGTTTTCAAACTTTTTGGATTTGGGCAACTTGGGAAGCCCAAACCATTAGGCCCATAATAAAAGAACTAAACACAAAGATTTACTTCCTCCTCTTCCAGGTTTCAACTCTTGAACCCAGAAGGGGTTTTGGTTTCGTTTTTGTTTTGCAGAATCGCCATGAAAGAGCCAGGAAGCAGAAAACGCAAGAGAGGGAGGAAACGCCAACCTCAAAATCAACACTCAAAGACAATCACAAAGCATGGTAAACAAACCCTTCAACATCAACCTTCTGCTTCTCCTTCTTCCAAACCACCCAAGTCCTCCACTTTCCTCGACAAGGTCTCTCTCTTTTACACTCTTTTTAATATCCGTATGTGATTTTTAGGAATATTTTGAATGATGGATATTGGGTTTGGTTTTGGTTTTTAAATATGCAGATGCGAGCCAGGTTATCTGGGGGCCATTTTAGGATGCTTAACGAAAAGCTTTATACTTGCACGTAATTTATACCCTTCTTCTCTAGTACACTATCTTGTTTTAACTACAGCAACAGGATTTAATTTTTATTGGTTTACGTTATCTTTCCAATTGGATTTTTTTCTTCTTTTTGTCAGTGGAAAAGAAGCACTTAACTATTTCAGTGAAAACCCGTCATCGTTTGATATGGTAAGATTTTCCAATGCAAATTTAAGTTTCTCTCAGGAATTGTATGTAAAAGTTTGTCATAGTTTGTCATCTGGTCTAATTATGGTAGGATGAGAAGATTTGTTTGGTCTAGCATTTGAATTATACCTTAACTCATAATGCAAAATATATATTAATATCTTTAAATAATATAGTCCTTACATATAAATTTGCCTAGCTGTTCATATATTCGACTTGAATATCCTTAACATCAAAGTTTAGAAGAGTCCCTTGAATGGACTTGAGACCATAGAAGAGTCCTCAGATACGAGACTCCAAAATTTGAGGACTTTATAGTAAATCTAAATGTTTCATCCATTTCCTCAGATTTCTGTACTGTGACTATCTGATGATTTCACTCCACCGAAACTTGACTGTATGTATTTGACTTACTTTTTCTCACTGCTCTTCTGGTCTAAATAGATAGCTTCAAACAACATTTTGTGGAATTACTATTTGGATGACTGTTGTATTTGGAGAAAAGAGTGTTAACTTGTTTTTTTCTTAACTGGCAGTATCATTCAGGATATCAAGAACAAATGTCGCATTGGCCTGAGCTTCCAGTTAACAAAATCGCAGAATGGCTGAAGGGTCACAGCCCTTCTTTAGTTGTTGCTGATTTTGGTTGTGGTAAGGTTTTGCTGAAATCTATCAAATGCTGCTAAATTGCAAAGGATAGTTACCACTCTTAGTTGTGATTGAATCTTGATGTTCACTTATATGCTCTTAACGGTGGCTCTATCAACATCTTTGTGCTACATTGTGTTTCAGGGGATGCACGGCTGGCAAAAAATGTGAAGAATAAAGTTTTTTCTTTTGATCTTGTCTCAAATGATCCTTCAGTAATTGCTTGTGATATGTCAAATGTACGTCTTTCTTTTTTCTTTTAAAGCTCATATAACAGAAATAATTGTCATTTGGACTTTAGACCAGTGAATAAAGTATATATTAATTACTTTCCCTATATAAGACTAAATCAGTTGAAACTTGTAACAGTGTTTTTTTTTTTTTTTGGTTGTTATTGTTGAAGGCAGGATTAATCTTGCCATTAAATGTTAGTGTTCACATTTTCTCATGTTATATTTAGATGGACAACTTGTACACTCTGGTAATTATTTTATGAATCCATGATATCCTCTTTGTTTAATATATTTATATACAAGCCTCTGCAGCAAATGGTGCTAAAAATATAGTTTTGCCTTACATGTCCAGTTATTAGTCTTGCAGGCTTAGGGTATTCATACCTACCAGACATGTTAGGTGTCACGTGTCTAACTATTGATTATCACCCCTATTCAAGCACGAATTCAGAAACTAGACTCATCCATTGAATTCCTTTATGAAATGTCATTCCTCTGTGATCTAGTTTTCTATGCTCAAACGTTAGAGAGCCTATGATTAAGAAAATAAGTATAGAGAGTCATTTAATGGATGAGCAATGATTATTTCTAATATATATACTCATTAAACTAATGTCTTGTTTTCATTGTTTGTTGTCCTCTATTACTTATCATCAAATTATGATTTTGGTGACTCTGGATATTGCTGAAAGCTAGAAACATCAATTGCTAAACTTCTATATGACTTCCGAAGTTTTTTCCTGGGTTTAAGAAATATTGAAGTTGAGGCTTACAAATATGCTTTGGAAGTTCCTTTTTTTCTTTTTTCCATTTCAGTTAAAAAAAATTCTAGTGTTCATTTACAGTTTGTGAGATGCGCTCACTAGTAATTGTTTGTTTATGCTTACTGGCAGACACCCCTTGACTCTTCATCTGTAGATGTTGCTGTCTTCTGCCTTTCATTGATGGGAACAAACTTTCCCAGTTACCTTCAGGAAGCGCACAGAGTTCTTAAGCCAAAGTTTGTAACTCAATTATCTTGCGTTACTTTTGTGGTTTCAATTCAGAATTTAATTGATAATGGTTTATCCCAGTGGCTGGCTTTTGATAGCAGAGGTGAAGAGCAGATTTGATCCAAATACCGGAGGAGCGGACCCAAAGGAGTTCTCAAATGCAGTTTGTAATCTGGGGTTTGCATCTGAGTTAAAGGTCACTTTCTTTTCCTTTAATTTGCCTCTGTAATTGATCACTTTCCCGTGCTTACTGGTACATTATTTACAGGACTTATCAAATAAGATGTTTATTTTGTTACACTTCAAGAAAAAGGTTAGCAGCTATTTTATAACACGTCTCTGTTATCATTATCATTTTCAATTTATCTGATAAATGAGTGCCATTTAATTTTTTGATACTCGTGATTTCGCATTGTTTGCTCTCTAGAAGAAGCAGAATTCAAAGAGCAAGGAAATTGAATGGCCTGAGTTAAAACCTTGTTTATACAAACGTCGCTGAAACTAAAGACAACAGTGCTCCTCTTAGCTTATGTATCAATCTCCGACAAAGTGGTTTTCTGTACCTTGTAAATGTAATGATAGGCAACTTCTGGAGGAAGTTCATTAAATTTTGTTCCTGCTTATAGCCAAAAGAAACATTCTCATTTTTTTTTCTTTTCTTTTGTGTTCTTAACAAATTTCAATAACATCTACCATGAATTATGTAAGTTTACCAAAAACTAAATCTACAGTCTGGAAATTTGAGGCTATTTTTCTTTTTACAAGAATTGTATTTAGTCAATTATTTGAGTGAGTTGCAAGTTAGTTGACGATCTAGAATAACAAGAATGTTACTCGAGCATTTTCAAATGAATTTTTTTCATATAAACCCATATGTCAGTGACAGTGATGCATGATTGCTATCTATCATTCATTTACGTTGGTTTTTTTTTTTTTTTTTTCTTTGAATCATATTGTATATCAGGGTTTATATGAAGTAGTTGGCATATGTAATATTATTTTTGGAATCCTGCTTCCCTCGACTGTAGGTAATATGCAATAATTCACATGTGGATTAATATTCCTTGGGTTGTCCATTGCAATCTGGATTTAACATTCTAGCCGTCAGCCACGTGAAAGGCCTCATCTGTGGCTTTCCAGTACTGACACTGGGCTGCAACTTAATCAGTCTTCAAATTTCATAAACTACAGCCACATGAGACAAAAGATGTTGAGCTAGTCCATATGCCTTTGGAAATTTATCCGCACAGCGGAAAAAGATAGTTTATTTGTGAAACCATTTAAGTTGAAAGCTTGAAAATTAATTTAATTGAAGAAATAAAGTGATCAACTAACCGTAGCAAGAAACTTGCTGAAAAACTGGTACAGAGCTTGGAAGCACCAGAGATTATCCCCAAAGATGACTTCCCTGGAGCCAATTCTTACTACACATTTTCAAATCATTGAAGCGCCAGCTGTTTCTTCCTTTTTGCTGTTTTTTTATTTCTTTAAAAGATATCTTCTACTGTTAAGGAACCAAGGTATTTTTCTAACAACTTTTGGCGGGTTTATTGTGGTCCTTTGGCCGCCAGAAAGGACTGATCAAAGATGCTTGAATTGACACAAATCCTCTTTCCTGTCTGCAAATAAGTTTTTTATGCACCGACTTCAAAAGGGTTTTTTCCTCCCATTCATTTTCCAACTCCCAAGTATTCTCCAATCGGGCTAAGATCTGGAAAACTGTAGCAGCCGAAGGACAACATTTACTGAAACCTTTTCTTTGTTAAGGAACAGGAATGGCAATAAAAAAGTACATTATGCGCTCCAAATGAGAAGTTTCGTAGAAGGATTGGTTTATCACAAACTAGTAAACAATGAGGCAAGAACGAAGGAATACCCAATAAAACAAAATCTATTTCCTGCATAACATATAAATAATACCGTTACGTGTTACGTAGCTTGCTCTTTAAACAGAAAATACAAACATCTCAATACACACACCAGCTAACACGAGATGCAATCAAAATAATTGAAGTTTAACCAGCCGAAGAAGTGTTCACAGAAGATTCACAAGTTACTACACAATGTTCTAATAATTGGAAGAGCATTAGCATTGTCAATAGGTTGTTAGCTCTGTGTGTGAAAGACAAACGATAGGATGAGGACAGCAGCGAAATCATTCTTGGTAAATATTGCAGATTGCTGCATTAATGCTTTTACAGTCAAAATCCATGGTCTTCATCCAGTTCTCAAAGTCTCCAATTTCCTACAACACAAACCCATAGAGTAGTTATCATAAGAAATTATTATGTATAGGAAACATCTTGGAGAAAGCCATTCAAAACGAGGATTTTCATATGTAAAACTGGCATGCTTCGACAAGTATTAGTTACTCTTTTCGCATCATCTTTTAATATACAAATTTCATGATTACATGCATCACTGATTATATGTTATTGCAACTATTTCTAGATGTTACTCCTACGTGCCCATATATGCTGCATGGAGATATCACCATATCAGCTATCATAAAACAATCTCATACTAACTAGAATGAAACTGTGTTATCAGCTAATTTTATGTTATCACTACCATAAACCAAAGCGCAATAATCTCATGTAGTTAAAACAGGAATTTATGTATTCCATCCAAACACGAGTTTCTTTCCCCCCAATGCTAAGTCCTATTTTGAAGGTCCATTGTAAAACAATGGCCTAATTTGAGTTTAAGAACAGACATTATATCTTCGGAAAGGGGGGAAATAGACTCACACTATATTTGATAAGAATGGAAGAGAAAAGGGAAGAAGAATGAAAACAGAAAAAGGAGAAGTATATGCATCCACCACCCTTCCATCCATTTGGTTTGATAAAAAAAAGAAAACATTACATTAATATAAACTACAAAATGGCTCTTTCCCTTTATTAGGTTTTTTTGCAATACCCTAAATGTAAGAATCAAAACTTCCTTGCAATACCCAAAATGTAAGAATCAAAACTTCCATCGTTCTCCTCATTCTTTCCTGCTGAACACACAAAGTAATCTTACCTCCACCATTCTAATTCCTATATACTTCGTTCTCTCCTACAGAGGAACNCATTGGTTAATTTATTTTCTTTCTATCATATTGTATATCAGGGTTTATATGAAGTAGTTGGCATATGTAATATTATTTTTGGAATCCTGCTTCCCTCGACTGTAGGTAATATGCAATGATTCACATGTGGATTAATATTCCTTGGGTTGTCCATTGCAATCTGGATTTAACATTCTAGCCGTCAGCCACGTGAAAGGCCTCATCTGTGGCTTTCCAGTACACTGAGACTGGGCTGCAACTAAATCAGTCTTCAAATTTCATAAACTACAGCCACATGAGACAAAAGATGTTGAGCTAGTCCATATGCCTTTGGAAATTTATCCGCACAGCGGAAAAAGATTAGTTTATTTGTGAAACCATTTTAGTTGAAAGCTTGAAAATTAATTTAATTGAAGAAATAAAGTGATCAACTAACCATAGCAAGAAACTTGCTGAAAAACTGGAAAAGAGCTTGGAAGCACCAGAGATTATCCCCAAAGATGACTTCCCTGGAGCCAATTCTTACTACACATTTTCAAATCATTGAAGCGCCAGCTGTTTCTTCCTTTTTGCTGTTTTTTTATTTCTTTAAAAGATATCTTCTACTGTTAAGGAACCAAGGTATTTTTCTAACAACTTTTGGCGGGTTTATTGTGGTCCTTTGGCCGCCAGAAAGGACTGATCAAAGATGCTTGAATTGACACAAATCCTCTTTCCTGTCTGCAAATAAGTTTTTTATGCACCGACTTCAAAAGGGTTTTTTCCTCCCATTCATTTTCCAACTCCCAAGTATTCTCCAATCGGGCTAAGATCTGGAAAACTGTAGCAGCCGAAGGACAACATTTACTGAAACCTTTTCTTTGTTAAGGAACAGGAATGGCAATAAAAAAGTACATTATGCGCTCCAAATGAGAAGTTTCGTAGAAGGATTGGCTTATCACAAACTAGTAAACAATGAGGCAAGAACGAAGGAATATCCAATAAAACAAAATCTATTTCCTGGGTAACATATAAATATTACCGTTACATGTTACGTAGCTTGCTCTTTAAACAGAAAATACAAACATCTCAATACACACACCAGCTAACACGAGATGCAACCAAAATAATTGAAGTTTAACCAGCCGAAGAAGTGTTCACAGAAGATTCACAAGTTACTACACAATGGTCTGATAATTGGAAGAGCATTAGCATTGTCAATAGGTTGTTAGCTCTGTGTGTGAAAGACAAACGATAGGATGAGGACTGCTGCGAAATCATTCTTGGTAAATATTGCGGATTGCTGCATTAATGCTTTTACAGTCAAAATCCATGGTCTTCATCCAGTTCTCAAAGTCTCCAATTTCCTACAACACAAACCCATAGAGTAGTTATCATAAGAAATTATTATGTATAGGAAACATCTTGGAGAAAGCCATTCAAAACGAGGATTTTCATATGTAAAACTGGCATGCTTCGACAAGTATTAGTTACTCTTTTCGCATCATCTTTTAATATACAAATTTCATGATTACATGCATCACTGATTATATGTTATTGCAACTATTTCTAGATGTTACTCCTACGTGCCCATATATGCTGCATGGAGATATCACCATATCAGCTATCATAAAACAATCTCATACTAACTAGAATGAAACTGTGTTATCAGCTAATTTTATGTTATCACTACCATAAACCAAAGCGCAATAATCTCATGTAGTTAAAACAGGAATTTATGTATTCCATCCAAACACGAGTTTCTTTCCCCCCAATGCTAAGTCCTATTTTGAAGGTCCATTGTAAAACAATGGCCTAATTTGAGTTTAAGAACAGACATTATATCTTCGGAAAGGGGGGAAATAGACTCACACTATATTTGATAAGAATGGAAGAGAAAAGGGAAGAAGAATGAAAACAGAAAAAGGAGAAGTATATGCATCCACCACCCTTCCATCCATTTGGTTTGATAAAAAAAAGAAAACATTACATTAATATAAACTACAAAATGGCTCTTTCCCTTTATTAGGTTTTTTTGCAATACCCTAAATGTAAGAATCAAAACTTCCTTGCAATACCCAAAATGTAAGAATCAAAACTTCCATCGTTCTCCTCATTCTTTCCTGCTGAACACACAAAGTAATCTTACCTCCACCATTCTAATTCCTATATACTTCGTTCTCTCCTACAGAGGAACTTCATAGAAAGCACTTTATGTAGAAACATAACTATTAATCGCTTTTCTCACTACAAAACCGTTTTCTAGAAAGCAATAAGCCAAATGCTTCATCCAGAAACTTTTTTATCTATTTCCGCCAAACGCCACTGCAACATTAACATCTAAAGTACTCCTGATCACACCATACATCTCCAAATCAATCTCTTCTAATCCAACAAACATCAAATTACACAAAAATAAAACCAACAGTATATACCATTAAAAAAAAAAAAAAAAAAAACGAACCTTCATGGCAGAGTTAATAGCATTAGTAGTAACAAGCCACTGATCAGTCTGTTTCATGAATCGGGCAATTGTAGCTGCCAAAGTTCGAATTTCAAGCTCAATTCTTTTCTCATTCAAATAAGACTCTTGCACCCCACCATTCATTGCATCCATCAATAAATCAGACACCCTTTTCGCATTATTAATCGATTCTTTCTTCGCTAACTCTGTTTTTGAAAAAACAACAAAAACCGTAACATCACCCCAAAAAAAAAATGCAAAAAGATTGAAAAAGTTTCAATTGAAAGAGAAAAATAAACCGACCCGTTTGTTGGCGGAGTTTGAGAGAGGAGTGGTGATGATCGTGGAGTAGCTGGAGAAGAGAGGCTTCGAGACTGCCCGGCTCTGCTTGAGCTTTGTCTGTCTCGGCTGGGAATGGCACGCGCGTACGCGCCAGAGGAAGCTGCGGTGAATACATTGATCTCAGCAGAGGGAGTGAGCTTCAATTATGCCTTTATTGTTTATTTTACCAAATATTTATTTATTTATTTGAAATCGGTTAATTCTAGAAAAAAATATATGATCAACCAAGGAATAATTATTTTCGGAAATAACAAAAAAGAAATAATTTTCAGTTCGTTGGTGTTAATTTTAACAGATAAATAAAAATACTTAAAAGAAAAATAAAAATACATAAATATCCTTTCTTTATTCTTAAAATATAAATTTAGAAAATAAAACTTTAAAAGAAAAGAAAATAATTTTAAACCTCAAGTTGTTTGCGGGCGATCAAGGAGGTTTACGCACTTGTATAAATTAAATAGTTTATTTATTGTTTTAGTATTAGTTAGTCAGTTAAGCCAAGTTGGTTAAATAGCTATAACTAAGTTGTAAAACAGCATTTTGTTTCTTAGTTAGATTAGGATTAGCTGACACTAAGTAGCTATTTTTTCTTGTATAAAAGGATGTACTCCGTTTTTCTTCATTAATAAAATAACAACTCTCTTTACCAAATTGCATTTTATTCTATTCATGGTATCAGAGTATAGATCCTTTTACGAATACACTACTTTTCTATTTATGTGGTAAATCTTTGATTCGATAAGCATAGGTGATGGCATAAGGAGCTCAAATCTTCAAAGTGAAAGAGAGATAGTGCTTAATCAAGTACAAAATGGAGAACACATACGAAATGGAGATCATTTGTATCTGCAAAGTTCTAATCATCCAGGAATGATTCTTATCTCTACTCCACTAATCGGTAAGAATTACTTCTTAGAGTCGTTCTATGAAAATTGCGTTGGGTGCAAAAGTGAAGTTAGGGCTTATAAATGGGAAATGTGAGATGCCTAATGAAGAATCTTCGGATTTTGAACAATGGAGTAAGGTAGATTGTATGGTTACTTCTTGGATATTGAACTCAATTTCGAAAGAGATTGTTGAAGCTTTTTTATATACAACCTCGGCTAAAGAGTTGTGGAAGGAGTTAGAAGAAAGGTTTGGTGAATGTAATGGACCTTTATTGTATCAGATAATTAGTTCAATTACTCAAGGAAATATGCATGTTGTGTAGTATTATACGAAGCTCAAGAAATTATGGGATGAATTGACATGTTTGATTCCCATACCAGAGTGTACTTGTGGTGTGGCTAAATCGGTAGCAGAGATAACTTCTTTTAATCGATTAATGCAATTTCTTATGGGTTTAAATGATAGTTTTGATCATATTAAAAATCAAATCTTGGTTGTGGATCCTTTGCCTATTGTAAACAAGGCATACTCAATGATCTTGAGGATTGAAAAGGAAAGAGAAGTGCATGTAGCATTTGGAGAAAATCTTGAGAATAGTGTTATGTTTGCTAAAGCATGGAATTTTAAAAAGGAAGCAATTGTTAAGAATGGGTACAAGAGGAAGGACATGGTGAAGAAGTCTGAAAGGCATTGTGAGTTTTGCAACAATGGTGGACATACGAAAGAGATTTATTTTAAGCTTCATGGTTATCTAGACTAGTACAAAGAATTAAAAGAACAAAAGGGAAAATCTCAGCCTAAGAATTATGCCAACATGACAGATACTCCATTAGAACGTGTGAAAATTATGGTTGTTAACGACCCGAGCCGAGCCGAGTTTTTGGCTTAACGAGCTCGACTCGTGAAAAAGAAGAAGAATTCGAGCCGAGCCTCTAATTTCTTGACTCGGCTCGACTCGTAAAGAGAGAAAAAGATTTCAAGCCTGGCTCGCGAGCCAACTTAACGAGCCGAGTTAGAGCCGGCTCGCGAGCCAGCAAAAAACATGCAATTTTTTTTTTAATTCGATGTAGATTTTCTCTCTCTCATTTATTACTCTTTCTCTTTCACTTCTTTTCCCCTCTAATTTATTATTTGATTTGCTTCACAAGAACTTCTTATACTGTATCTTTAATTATAGCATTTATATTTTATTTTGTATGACTATTTATATATTGTTGATATTTTTCCACATGTTTCTAATTTTGTTTTCAAACTTTTTGGATTTGGGCAACTTCTTTGGGTTCCCAAGAAGCCCATTAGCCCCATATAAAGAACTAAACACAAGATTTACTCCTCCTCTTCCAGGTTTCAACTCTTGAACCCAGAAGGGTTTTGGTTTCGTTTTTGTTTCGCAGAATCGCCATGAAAGAGCCAGGAAGCAGAAAACGCAAGAGAGGGACCCAACCTCAAATCAACACTCAAAGACAATCACAAAGCATGGTAAACAGACCCTTCAACATCAACCTTCTGCTTCTCCTTCCCAAACCACCCAAGTCCTCACTTTCCTCGACAAGGTCTCTCTCTTTACACTCTTTTTAATATCCGTATGTGATTTTTAGGAATATTTGAATGATGGATATTGGGTTTGGTTTTGGTTTTTAATATGCAGATGCGAGCCAGGTTATCTGGGGGCCATTTTAGGATGCTTAACGAAAAGCTTTATACTTGCACGTATTTATACCCTTCTTCTCTAGTACACTATCTTGTTTTAACTACAGCTACAGGATTTAATTTTTATTGGTTTACGTTATCTTTCCAATTGGTTTTTTTCTTCTTTTTTGTCAGTGGAAAAGAAGCACTTAACTTTTCAGTGAAAACCCGTCATCGTTTGATATGGTAAGATTTTCCAATGCAAATTTAGTTTCTCTCAGGATTGTATGTAAAAGTTTGTCATAGTTTGTCATCTGGTCTAATTATGGTAGGATGAGAGATTGTTTGGTCTAGCATTTGAATTATACCTTAACTCTAATGCAAAATATATATTAAATCTTTAAATATATAGTCCTTACATATAAATTTGCCTAGCTGTTTCATATTCGACTTGAATATCCTTAACATCAAAGTTTAGAAATCCCTTGAATGGACTTGAGGCCATAGAAGAGTCCTCGATACGAGACCAAATTTGAGACTTTATAGTAAATCTAATGTTTCATCCATTTCCTCAGATTTCTGTACTGTGACTATCTGATTTTTCACTCCACCGAAACTTGACTGTATTATTTGACTTACTTTTTCTCAGTGCTCTTCTGGTCTAAATAGATAGCTTCAAACAACATTTTGTGGAATTACTATTTGGATGACTGTTGTATTTGGAGAAAAGAGTGTTAACTTGTTTTTTCTTAACTGGCAGTATCATTCGGATATCAAGAACAAATGTCGCATTGGCCTGAGCTTCCAGTTACAAAATCGCAGAATGCTGAAGGGTCACACCCTTCTTTAGTTGTTGCTGATTTTGGTTGTGGTGAGTTTTGCTGAAATCTATCAAATGCTGCTAATTGCAAGAGAGTTCCACTCTTATTTGTGATTAATCTTAATGTTCACTTATATGCTCTTAACGGTGGCTCTATCAACATCTTTGTGCTACATTGTGTTTCAGGATCACCCTGGCAAAAAATGTGAAGAATAAAGTTTTTTCTTTTGATCTTGTCTCAAATGTCCTTCAGTAATTGCTTGTGATATGTCAAATGTACGTCTTTCTTTTTCTTTTTAAGCTCATATAACAGAAAAATTGTCATTTGGACTTTAGACCATGAATAAAGTATTATTATTACTTTCCCTATATAAGACTAAATCGTTGAAACTTGTAACAGTGTTTTTTTTTTTTTTTTTTTTTTTTTTTTTTGTTATTGTTATTGTAAAGGCAGGATTAATCTTGCCATTAAATGTTAGTGTTTACATTTTCTCATGTTATATTTAGATGACAACTTGTACACTCTGGTAATTATTATGAACCATGATATCCTCTTTGTTTATATTATATACGCATCTGCAGCAAATGGTGCTAAAATATAGTTTTGCCTTACATTTCCAGTTTTTGTCTTGCAGGCTTAGGGTATTCATACCTACAAGACATGCTAGAGTCACATGTCTAACTATTGATTATCACCCCTATTCAAGCACGAATTCAGAAACTAGACTCATCCTTTGAATTCCTTTATGAATGTCATTCCTCTGATCTAGTTTTCTATGCCTCAATGTTAAGAGCCTATGATTAAGAAAATAAGTATAGAAAGTCATATAATGGATGAGCAGATTATTTCTAATATATACTCTTAACTAATGTCTTGTTTTCATTGTTTGTTGTCCTCTATTACTTATCATCAAATTATGATTTTGGTGACTCTGGATATTGCTGAAAGCTAGAAACATCAATTGCTAAACTTCTATATGACTTCCGAAGTTTTTTCCTGGGTTTAAGAAATATTGAAGTTGGGCTTACGAATATGCTTTGGAAGTTCCTTCTTTTCCTTTTCGATTTCATTTTAAAAAATTTCTAGTGTTGATTACAGTTTGTGAGATGCGCTCACTAGAATTGTTTGTTTATGCTTACTGGCAGACACCCCTTGACTCTTCATCTGTAGATGTTTGGTCTTCTGCCTTTCATTGATGGGAACAACCTTTCCCAGTTCCTTCAGAAGCGCACAGAGTTCTTAAGCCAAAGTTTGTAACCAATTTCTTGTTTTACTTTTGTGGTTTCAATTCATAATTTAATTGATAATGGTTTATCCCGTGGCTGGCTTTTGATAGCAAGGTGAAGAGCAGATTTGATCCAAATACCGGAGGAGCGGACCCAAGAGAGTTCTCAAATGCAGTTTGTAATCTGGGGTTTGCATCTGGTTAAAGGTCACTTTCTTTTCCTTTAATTTGCCTCTGTAATTGATCACTTTCCCGTGCTTACTGTACATTATTTACAGGACTTATCAAATAAGATGTTTATTTTGTTACACTTCAAGAAAAAGGTTAGCGCTATTTTATAACATGTCTCTGTTCATATCATTTCAATTTATCTGATAAATGAGTGCCATTTAATTTTTTGATACTCATGATTTCGAATCGTTTGCTCTCTAGGAGAAGCGAATTCAAAGAGAAGGAAATCGAGGCCTGGTTAAAACCTTGTTTATACAAACGTCGCTGAAACTAAACACAATGCTCCTCTTAGCTTATGTATCAATCTCCTACAAAGTGGTTTTCTGTACCTTGAACT